GAGGCAGAGACAACGAAGGCCATGTCCAAGCAGTCTGTAGGAACTTGGTTGGCTGGTCTTTGGTGATGGCCGTGAACCCGTTCAGTGCGGACACCAACCACCTTTTCCCAATGACCGGGTTTGCGTTTGGTTGCTGCAGTTCAGTTGGGCTCTCCTTCGAAACCCAACCAGCTGGATGCAGGGCATCGACCACATCACGACCCGAGCGGCAGTGGAATTCAGCAAACATGTGTGGCGCCTTGACCAGTATCCCAAGGACTTGCTATCCCACATGATGGCCCACTGCTTGGTCTGCGGTCGCATGGTACTCAGCTTCACCGGACTGCAAGCGCATGGCATGTAAGGTCCCATCACCCGGAGCACCTCTACGTACTGCATCGCTCCCAGCACAGACATGAATTCCGTGTCACGATGTCCTTGCCATGCTTTGGATGTGGTGCCCAAACCAATCTGGGCGCCAAGCCTCTGATTTTCGTACACCATGCATGGTGGCACTCAATTTGAACCTTGGACTTGAACATCAAAAGAATGTTTTGGAATGTGTAAGCCTTCAATTTTGGGTTCCACCTGCTGCGGCCACCTCACCTGAGCACGCATCTCCTGAGCCTGGGGGCCTTGGCGCATTCCTCACGCGGATGGACCGAGCAGCCTGAACATTCGCGGCCTGCGGCTGACCTGACCAACTGACCCTGAGAGAGCTTTTGCTGGCTGGATGGCCAAGACTTAGACTCCTTTTTTGAAGTCATGATGTAATTTTGTGCAGTCACGATGTCACTCTTTTTGTGCAGCCACGACAGGGCTCGAGATGGACCATACCTCGCCCTTGAATTTGATTTGGTTGAAAAGATATGAGTTGGATTTAATGTCTTTGGTACAATCCGGCACGAAGTCACCATAGCGGTTTTTACTTCCTTGAGCCGGATGACACTCCTTTTTGCTCGTGCATCTTGCACCATGAGCTTTGCAATTTGAATCTAGAGTACGCCCCGGCGATGTGGAATAACTCCACCAACACTTTACTGTGTTGCCTGCCCCACTGTTTCCGCACAACGGAAAGTGAGCGAAACTGAACAACTATCATATAAATATATATATATATATGTGCATAAATCATCATAAATCGTTTTATATTATAAACTATATCCATCCTCAGTCGGATTCTCCTTCACCCACCCCAGTGCCACCGAACTCAGGTGAAGAACTGGTATGGCCGTGAGGTGCGGAACTGAAGAAGTTGAGAGGATTTGAGAGCGTATGGAGTGGCACCAGCCAGGGCGGCCAGACACTTCCTTTAGAGCTAATGGTTCGTAAGAAGTTGAAACATTTTGTTTAGTGGACCTGGATCAGTCCCTCCTCTTTTTGAGATATTTCTCACAATGTATAGTTGGATGCTTCCATTCATGTTCAAACAAACTCATCCAACAAACACGGTCACCGTGGACGGCCCCTTTCCGATTTCGGATGACGTTCTCTGATCGAGCAGATGCCTTCCACTCCGTGTAACCAGCATGATTCCAGGGAATGTCCCTACACCTCCAGGTACCTCCTCAGGTTCGGTACCTGGACCCTCCTGGCACCCACCCCGGTCCCACCTTCTCAGGTCCGGTACGACTGGAGGCCTAGGGTGTATGTCTTTGGTCTCAGATGTTCCACCACCATCCACATGATATCTCCCTGAGTGGTTTCACCTCTTTCAGGCACCCGACCTCATGTTTGTCCCGTTTGGGATCGCCTCTCAACCACCGGTTGAACCCCGGCCCCATACAGATCCATCGGTCCGGGCGCATCTCTCTCTCCGCTCGGCCAGGTGCTCGCGTCCATGGACCAATCGGCTGGGTGGCAACAAAGATGGACGCCTCTCGGTCGAGAACCGGGCGCTGTATATGGATGCCACATATGCCACGTCTCCCTACGAGGATGTAGGAAAAGCTAGGTTCCGGTGCATGCCAAGGTTAGTTCGTGGCTTGTTTGATTGGCCCCCAATGACGACTTAGGACTCATAGGATGTAGTGAAGTCCACTTGAATACCCACGAGAAGGATTTCAGGTCGGCTTGCTGATCGTCCGGGTGCATTTTCTGAATGCTGACGTCCACCTCCCCTCGCAGATTTGAGAATTGTCGCACAGGAGATCAATCACTTGTTTCTGACGCACGATATGGTTGTTGCTCGTCCCTGAAGTTCATGAAACTACGACGCTGAAAGAAGCCATAGCAGGCATTTCATCCAACTTAATACTTGGAAGGTGGATTGTGGATTGACACGCTAAAGCTCGTTCTCAGGTGTGATCAGGTTTGTGGGTTTATTGAGTGGTTATAGTCTATTTCCATCTATTTGCATTCAATGCAGCATATTTGTACTTTTACGCTGTATTAGGGTACATCATATCTTGAGGGCTTCTTAGCTTTGTGACCTGTGCTATGGAAATCCTTAGGAACCCTGGAAAAAACTGCGATTATTTGGGATGCCTGGCATTCAGATTGAAAAGGGTTTGGCTGTGGACTGCCTTTGTGTACTGTCTTTTGGGATTAGAGACGGGCAAGATGCCTTCTAGAAAGAAGAAGGGTGTGCCAGGAAAGTGTAGTCTACCAGATGGGTACATATAATGCGTATGCACTTCGATGGCGGCGAGGTCCTTCAAGTGGCTGCTCCTACAGAAGACCAAGATCGTAGAGGAGGCCAGATTCCTTTCTGGACGATTGCCAATTGGATGTTACATGATGTTACTGTGAGACCGAATACCCTCTGACTGAGTAGCATGGAAGTAGAAAATAATGCCTTGGAGGACCATTGTCCTCTACAAACAGGTAGCTTTCCACTTCCATGATAATTTCGGGGAGCGTGTTGAATTCAATGCAATTCACTGAGAACCCGGACAGTGTGGCTTATGTATCATCAGCAAGTTGTCTTGAATGCAAAGTCACTTTCATGGGCCAATTTCCAGTGGACATGTTTGACCACGGTTCGCCAAATCTTATATATCTAGATCCCCAAATAGATATAGAAACAGTTTCAAATACATTTCTGGTGGGAATTTACTTTTCTATCTATTTGGGGGGGCTATATAGTGATCTCATATGTGGTCAAGCTGCTGCACAGATCAAGTCCGCCTGTTTTGACACGACGGACGACACTACGTCACTGACCACTGACTTCATCGAACGCGACGGGTGCTTGTGGAACAGTGTGGAGCTTGCAGGGGAGGTGATGAATCAAGAGTCGGAATGAGGGACTGGACCACCCCTCTAGATAGCTCAGGATCCAGCCACCCTTGTTCCTCACGAGTCGCACCAGTCAGGCCTCGCCGGTGATCTCCTTTCCGTCCTGGCACTTGGATTCACAGGAGGCCGAGGGGGAAGGGAAGGCCAATGGCGGCGTGACGGCGTGGTGGCTTCGCCGTGTTGGAACGCGCGGGAAACGCTGCGAGGCATCACGAGTCTGACGCGAGGCATCAGGAGTGGTGACCTCTTCAACTCCCTACACCGACCCGTCGTACCTCAGGTTCGGTACCTGGACCATGGCACCCACCCCAGTCCCACCGAAACGAAACGAAGGTAATTACTTGGAGGCCCATAGGGACTTAGATCCGTGGCTTTGCGGACTCAAGAAACGCGTCAGATCCTTCGGACTCGACGTGTTCGGCTCTGTCGGTGTGGGACGGAGCTTCTGTGTGGCTCTCGGGTGTTCTGTCTCCACAGGAAGCCGACAAGAGCGATATACTTCTCTACACCCTATGGATCCACATACCGAACCTCAGAAGGTCATTGGACCCTCCTGGCGCCTACATAAATAGTCTCCGTCCTCACCTTCTCAGGTTCGGTATGTGGATCCATATAGGGACAGATGTTTATCGGCCAATACGCCCAGAGGGTCCAGATACCTCCGTACTTCGGATGGTCGAAGGGAGGTGAACGTATACTTCCAGAGAAATGAGTTTATATTCTAATCCTATAGGCCTCCAGTCGTACCTTTCATCCAAATACCTACTGAGGAGGTACTTGGAGGTGTAGGGAATAGGGACCCCCCTCCAACTAATGAAGAGTTTTATGTTTACGTGCCCATTGGGTGGTCAGTCGGACCCTTGAGGCCCTGGAGATCCAGGAGACTGCACCGTGCTGTTCTCAACTCAAGCACACGCCTTTCACTACAAGACCTACCCTTCCCATGACCGAACCTCAACAGGTGTTCTTTTCATGCAATTTAGTTTAATTCAGTAGATTTGAACCGACAATGAATACTGTGTGACCACATTGTATGTAGATTTGCATCGGGTGGGGACTTCTTCTGAACCAGAAAATCACCATAACATGCGAAGTATACCAGGACCTTCCAACAGGTGGGCTTTTTTGGACACCCCTTAACCATCCTCAAGGCTATTGTACAGACACTTTGGAAGGTCCCATGGTATCTTTACAACAGCCGTTTTTGGTGGAAAACCTTCAGGTTCTTTGAATGCTTCACATGGTAAAATGACCCGGTTCCTCTCAGAGATCGATGCATATCTCCCTTTGTCCCTTTTCCACCTCATATCATCCAGCCACGGCTTCCGAGCTTCCGCTCCGTGGCTTCCGCCGCTGAACGGCGGATGAGGCGGATCCCTGTTGGAGCTTCGACCCTTCGGCCCTGCCCTTGGCCGATTGGATCGCGCTGCAAGACGAGGAGACCGACCGAGGTTCGCGGTCGCGCCGGGCTGGGCGCGTGGCGCAACGCCGATGTCGTGTTCGCCGTGGCGGGAAATTGGGAAAGCATGGGTGGGAGACTCGCGGACCTGCGGCGTGGTGTGCTTATTCCTGAATGCGTAGCCCAGGGTTCTCGTTTAACTCTGGGGGTCTGAAATAGCAAGGAAAGGTGTGGAAACGTAATAAGATGTTGAAGTGTGAAGGATGATTTCACTGCGCAGGCGCAGCATTTTGTGAGATCCGCAGTCTTCTGCGTAGTCACATTGGGATTGGCGTTTAGAGGGTGGTGTTTTTGGGGTGTTGGATGTGGTTGTGACATTGGGAGTTGTGTTGCAGGCTGTTGCTTCGAAGCTGTGTTTTCGTGACAAGTCTCAGCTCAAACGGCGATTTTGGTGGATGGGAGTGTTCTCAGAACGTGTCGAAATCATTCCAAACGTATGGTGTGCTGCAAACTTTGTTGACGCTCACATGATATGATATTGTCACATTTCGTGGCAGGCGCAGTACTTTGTGCGGGCTTTGAGGCGTGGAAGCTCGATTTTCGTGGCAGGCGCAGGGAATCGTGAGGTTGCGAGTTGTGGTGGAGGTGAGTGACATTGGGATTGGCGTGTGAGCGGGTGTTGTGGAGGGGCTGGAATCGCGAAACTGCTTGGCAGGGCTGCTTGATGTGTGTGCTCCGTTGGGGCTTCCCGCTTGACCTTTGCAGGAAGTTTTGTACGAAGTGCTCGTTTTGGAGACTTTGACATGTGACTTTTGGAGGAAGTCTCGTACGAAACGCTCGTTTTGGAGACTTGACTCGTGACTTTTGGAGGAAGTCTGCAGTAGCTCAAAAGGAGATTCGGTCCACCCCAGATCTCTGGATGTGGAGTGTGAAACTCGAGTCGAAGCCAGCCTGGCTGTATGATCAGGTAGAGGAGTGTTAAAAGGTTTCCGATGATGCAATCAAGTCAGGAAAGTTCATGCTGGTAGTCACTGGTAGTGTCTTCGAATTTTGTGACAGAAGGACTTCCCAAAGGTGACCCTCTTCGCAAGTTCAAAGGGAGAACAGTCTTTCATGGTCGCATTGTTCTCTGAACTAGGTTCAGCCCCTGCCAACATGGAAGCCAGTAAGGCTCTCGACTGCTATGGTTCAGCACCTGGGAACAAGATCAAGCAGGGTGATGGCAAGCAAGCCTACACCCAGACAACGTTGAAGGGTAAACGAACTTGGATCAGGATTCGAAAGAATCGTTGGCCCAAAGCCTGGCATGGCAAGTATAGAGACCGGGTAATTCCTTTGGTCCTTGCCCTTTATGTCACCAAAAAAATTCAATGACCTTCACTGGAGAGGTCTTGGAATGGAAGACTTTCAAAAGAGATTTAAAATCTCGATAAGAGATTTAAAATGCAAAAAAATGTTTTAAATGAAAATCTTAGCAACAATCACCTCAAAAAATCTCGAAAAATCTCGAAACATCTCAAAAAATCTCGAGGGGATAAAAGGAAAAATCATTTTAACAACTCAAAACATCTCAAGAAATCTCGAAAAATCTCTAATAATCTCGAAACATGAGAAAATATGCAAAAAGATGCAAAAACGTAATTTCACATGCAAACTGGAGCGTGATATGACTGCTGCAGTCAGTTGTGTTCAGTTGTTAGGATAACTTCTCCCCAAGAAACACAATTTGATCAACCATGTTGTGTTTGAGGTGTTTTCCCCAAAAATAGTAACTTCTCTTTAACAAAATAGAATAAAACTAAAAAATGTGAAAACATGTGAAAAATGTTTTAAAATGTGAAAATATGATTAAAAATGTGGAAAATTGATAAAAACATGTGAAAAATGCAAACAAATAAAAACACATAAAATTTCATGCGACCCTGCTCTGATCTAATCCTACTCTGATCTAGGTAGTTAAATTTTTCTGGTGATTATGGTCACCCCGATGCGGGGGGATTCTGGGAGTGCCATTGTGAAGAGCGCTTGGGAAAGATTTGCTTTAGAGCTGTGCACCCCGCGCGCTGGCCGTCCACTTTTTGGCATGAAGCCCTTCAGTTGCTGCTCGCCGTCTACGTTGACGATTTGAAGCTTGCAGGTCCCGGGACACCTGTTCACAGGTCATGCAGCAAAGAACTCTGGCGCCCAAGTGTCCGGGACTACTCGCACTGTGGCACTGGGGAGGTTCTTCGTCGACATGTCCGGCTCTCGCGCGTTTGGCCCGCCCAACGCTGCTTTCGCGCGCAGCGATCCACAGTCTGATGCCCTTCACGCATTACTCAGTAATCCATATCGCTTCGTGACTTCAAGTTCCACAGACGACCCTTTGGATCTTCTGGCGGTTCATTGGAGTTGTCAGGGTGCGTTACTTTGGTCATTCAGCGTCGCATTATGCTTCGCGCCTGCGACGCATACTGACCTCAATCCTTGTGAGCGTTTAGAGCTCGCGATCAGTGGGTTCATATTGTGGGACCTGTGGCAGGTCCTCAGCGCGCGCAGGGAAGCACAATCTAACGCACTGACGGGCTCAATGTCTATGGCCACTGAAACAGTCAAGAACCTGCAGGCCGTCGCCCTCAACTTGATCACGCTCTTGATGTCCAAGGGAGAAGCTACGCTTACAATATAGAGCTGGGACCGTTTATTTACCACCCCCCGTTTACCAGCTTCCGTTTTTGAACTATGTTGGGATATGGCCGTTTTCATTATTACATAGATTTAGATAGTATTCGGGTTTTTTGGTGTTCAACGGCCGTCGTCATCATCAACGCATTTCAGGAACAGTTTCGCCCTTGGAATTTTGGACATGGCCGCCTGAGTGAATTGAGCATCGAAACTGGGTTTGGAGAATTACGCCAAGTGTGCTCAAGAAATGCTTGGCTGGGCCACGCATCCACAAGTAGTCCCTGGAACCAAATGTAAAAATTCTGGGTTTAGTGATTAGAATTTTCAATTCAAAATTCAATTTCTGGATTTGTGGGTCTAAATTCAGAAATCTAAATTCAAATCCTGGATTTTGTGAATTGAATTCAGATTTGAAAATTGAAATTCTGGATTGCGTTAATTGAATTCAGATTTCAAAATTTAAGTCTGGGTTTGGTGATATGAATTCAGATTTATATACTCAAACTTTGGGTTTGGTGATTTGCATTTCAAAGTCGCCCACAGCTGCCAAACAAACAGGTAGTTTGAACACACACATGAGCTATGTACGCATTAAAGCCTGCGTTGGCAAAGCAACTGAGCACATGGAAAGCCTGTATTGGCAGTCAGCTGAAGCTTGCGCAGGCTAAGTGCCTATAATCGCCACTTGCAAAACAATTCATACATGAGCGTGCATTGCTTTCACCAGCCGGCGCTTCTTTTAGCAAGTTGCCTTGCTCCAAGCAGCTACAAGTCACTCTGTGTTCAGAGTTGTCATCAGTAGCCTTGATTTACTCATCGCTGTCGCTGACCGAATCAAAGATGGAGCGAGTGCAGCAGAGCTGGCCCATTGGCGGAAAGTGATGCTCACAGTTGAATTCAATATGAGTCTATGAGTGTCTTCCAACAGCAGATGATCTGTACTTTCGCCGGTCAGTGATCGTGCAGAACGAGGCACTTGTCAGGAGCGCCATGAAAGCGCAACATGAAGCAACCAGCAGCAAAAATCACATCACATGTCCAAGCTTTCAGGCTCAAGACATTTGAGCAACTGCCAGCATATGCCATTCTACAAGGCAACAATATTTCTAGTTCACCAGAACAAAATCACAGCAAGACCACACAGCAAGTTGTAAAATCGACAGCTTGGGCATTGTCCGACCCAACTTCATACATCCCTTGAGGGGACAATGGCAACAAGGACAGCTTCACCAGAGCGTTTACCTGCACTACAAATATGACAGAGTTTCACAACTTGTGTGCTGGAAGACACAAATACAAGGAAACAATGTTCCTGGCAGCCCACATCCAAAGCCATTGGAAGCAGAGGTGCTTTTGGAAACCTTTCTGCCACAACAATACAGCTCGAAGCGTGAGGGAGGGGCCGCCATGCAGCAAATCCAAGAGATCGTGGAGTACAAGCTTCGGAAAGAGACTTCGTTGGGGAAGGCTCTTGATTGCGCTGCCTTGCGCAAACTTTGGAATGAGAAAACCATCCAGATTTCTTCTTCGTACGCCGATGAAATCAGCGTCGGCTGGATCGAAGCTGGCTTGAGGGTGCACAAGAAGATTTTGACGGACAAGGAAAGCCGAAACATGTTGACTTCCATGAACTTGTCCTTCGGTCTTCTTCTCTCTCTTTGTCATTGGGCTGCCTTTCGGTTTGTGGTCACATCTGACTCGATGATTCCATTCAGCTGTCACTGGTGAAAACATATTCCACGGTCCGTTTGATTTGTATTCCACACATGTGCTACGCATTGCCTCAAAAGGCTGCATCTTTCGCAAATTGTTGCAAGCAAGCTTGCAGGCGAGAGTTGTGGTAGCCTGGAGAGGCTCAAAAACAAGACCACACATGACAGCTTGTAATAGCTGGAAAGCAAATATACCAAAAACATCAAAAACTAAAGCCCAGATGCCGAGGTGAAACACTTACACTTGCAAGCAACCAAAAAACTACAGCCTAGATGCTGAGGTGAGACACTTGCACTTGCGAGCAACCATGGCCGGTAAAGGCGGAAAAGCCTGTAGCGGCAAGAAAGATAGCAAGAGATTGCAGGTTGGAACATCACAGCTTCAAGGTACACACCGCCCAAGAAAATCAAGTTGGACAAGGTTTGGCAAGCAAAAGCTTGCATGCAGGCTTGGCAGTGAATTAGCATACTGATTTCAAGCATTGAAATCAAAAACAACAACAGCTTCTGCAGAGTTACAGTAAAAGCATTATTCTGACAGTGGTTTTAACTAACTTCTGTAAATTTTAGGAACTGTAAGGTCTTTAGCGTAGACATTTTCTTTACACCACTATCTTAAGATGTATTTAGGTTTCTATGAAGTTGAGCCTTCTATAAGCAGTCAAAGCTAAGGCTAAGGTATATCCACTTATAAGCATGTTACTAAGCTGTTACTAATGGCTGTAAAGAACATAACCCTGTAGCAGAGCCCTTGATTTGCAGGCTTCAAGTGTGAGTGTTTCAGGACGTCTCGTGGTAAACGCTTGTTTTGGAGACTTGAGTACATTTTGGAGGACGTCTCGGACAAAGCGTTCGTTTTGCAGACTTGAAGTGTGAGTTTTTGAGGAAGCCTCGTACGAAACACTTGCTTTGGAGACGTGAGGGTTGATTTTTGGAAACTTTAGTAGCAGTGCCCCACAAGGGTGTCCTACAGAGTCCTACAGGAGTGTTCCACAAGAGTGTCCGACAAGAGTTACAAGAGCGTCCCGCAAGAGTGTCCCACAAGAGTGTTCGCAAGAGTGTCCAACAAGAGTGTTTCGCAAGAGTGTCCCACAAGAGTGACATACAAGAGTAACCCACAAGAGTGTCTCGCAAGAGTGTCCCACAAGAATGTCCGACAAGAGTGTCCTACAAGAGTGCCCCACAAGATTGTCCCACAAAAGATGTCCGCGTTGAGTGCCCCACAAGAGTGTCCTATAAGAGTGTCTCACGAGAGTGTTGCATGAGTGACATACAAAAGTGTCCCACAAGAGGTCTTAAGCAGCTCGGTGCACGGCAGAAGCGGTGCAGCCGATCCAGGTCAGTAAGCAGGTCAGAAATATGCCGCGTTGCGGCGTGGCACTGTTCGGTTCCGGCTGCGTTGCACAGCCTCAAAGAGGGGTGTGAGGCATCCACCCACCCGCCTTCCACTGTACACCACAGGCATGGGCCCGAGGTCCCGGCAAAGTAGGCAAGTCACTTGTCAGACATGCCTAAAGCTCATTAACAAGCCAACGGTTGGCACTACCTTGATTGACAATGCCAATCTCGGCTGGGGTAAAAGGATGTAGATTCTAGTGTCAGAATCAACAAGGCGAGAAAGTGGTTGCTGTACATAAAGCTTTCCCATGCTGGGCAAAAACACGGTCAGTGCAACCCTTGTCGCGTACGAATGTGCACTGTAGGGCCACGAGGTGTGAGCCACCGGACCTCGCTGTTTGGCGCCCCCAGGACAATGCTCACAGGTTTTGAGCCGGCTCCTGCCACTGGTTGTGGGCCCTGTTTTTCAAAGCATATTGAAGATCCAACAGCTGGACACATGGCAAGCATATAGTCCGCCACTTCCCTGCTGTAGTGTGGACATAACTCCTATAGCAAACATGTAAGTCACCAACCCGTTCATGCCCTCATGAAGTGAAGCGCTGCCAGCCTGCAAACATGTAGATCACCAACCCTTGCGCAGTGATACATAGTGAACTGAAGCACTGCAGCTTTGCAAACATGTAGGTTGCCAACCCTTTCGTGTAGGTCTCCATTTCTTGGAGCGAGGCAGTGGTATGACGAAACTGCCAGCGTGACACCGCAAAAGTCCCAGGCAATCCGCTCGAGCAGCGGAAGGAAACAGCTATGACAGCTGTATGCACCCAGCATGCCGGAATCCATTGCAAAACAAAGCGGATGACACTACTCCCAGGGATCAGCCGACTCAGCCAGACTAACTGGAAAGACCTGGGCCCGTGGCTGCAAGAGTGACATACAAAAGTGTTAAGAGTGTCCTATAAGTTATAAGACTGCTTCGCAAGAGTGTCCCACAAGAGTGACAAACAAGAGTGTCCCACAAGAGTGTCCCGAAGATTGTCCCACAAGAATGTCCGACAAGAGTCCCACAAGAGCAAGTGTCATACAAGGTGTCCCACAAGAGTGTCCCACAAAGGTTTCCGAAAAGAATGTGTCCTACAAGAGTGTCAAAAAATTGGCATTCGGATTCGTGGGTTCCATCTTGTTCTTGAAAACTAATATGACTGGATTGTGGAATAACCAGGCAAAAATAGAAAGGAACCTTATGTTTGTTGGTTGGGGACGCCCCACTCAACAAAAACATGAACAAATTAAACAAAGGCGGAAAGTTTGGTTCACCCTCATTTTCTCAGGGCTGGCTAGTCCGACTGGGAGTTGGGAGGCTGTCAGAGTGGACCCTTAAACCTTGGAGACGTAATCGATGCATTTGTGGTGCTTGCAAATGGTGGCGCGCATGTTCAGTCCCATTTCAGGGGCCGTGGATGTGATCGTTCATGCACCCTATCCTCCTTCCTCCGTTTGGAACCGGCACCCCGAGCGCTGGATGGGTGGAGCCCGGATGGATCCCCAAGTTCGGCACGTGAAAGCCATCCAGTCTTCATGACAGACCTATTCCACCATCTAGAGGTGCAAAGGGGCATGGATGGGCCCTCACTGGGTAAAAACATCGGAAAACAATTGACTCCGACCCTCCTAGCGATCGGCTGTTTTGGGACCCTAAGAACAGCTATAGCTGAACCTAGGCACCGAACGTGTTGGGAAACAGATCAAACGGAGGGTCAGGTGATGTCAGGAGTCACAGGCTCCGTGGCCTCTGGGCTCCATAGCAGCCCTCCAGGAGGATCCCCGAGTGGCCTTGGAACGTTTCTCCTTGGAGGTCAGCGAAGAGCTCGGGCCAAAGTGCGCCCGCTGTCGAAAACCGGGTGGGTTCTGCCGGGTCACACTTGGCCGCCTGCTTTCGCTGGAAGCGCGGTTCGGTGAGCTGTGGTTCCAAGCGGTGGAAAAGGGTTTGTTTGGGACGTGTTTCTCTTTCGTTTCAATCACTTGGCATGACACGTATACATGATACATGCATGATTCATGATACAAATTTCATGATACATGCATGATTCATGATACAAAATTAAATTAACTCCCAGGAGCTTCAAAGTGGCTTCAAATGGAAGCCACTTAATATCAAAATGAAATGAGGTCACATAGTGATCTCACATTGAGGCCTTGCTGGCTAAGTGACCTCGTTATGTGCTTTGATATAGGGTCCTTTTTGATATATCAACCATCAAGCTCCCTATCACCTATGATGGGAACGAACGGAATGGTTTGGGTAAAGGTGGAGAGAGCTCTGCACGGGCTGCATCAGCGCATCCACTGCAGCACCTGCAGGCTCAGTGGCTCTTAAGGCAGGTTTTGGAAAACACACAGATGGGGTCATGACCACAGTGGCTTCGAGAAACAATTAGTGTAGGATCTCTTTATAGCTCTTTCCCCTTCCAGCCATGTCGGGAGATTCAGCTGGCTCATCGAATGCTTTAAGCTCTGATGGCCGGACACTTGTCAACATCTATGGTTGGTTGTGGTGGGCTTCGTGGGTCCTTATGCATGCGTGGTCCTTCTTAATTCAACCACCCAAAAAAAAGACCTGAGGCGTGTGAGAAAGGCGATGGAAAAGCATATGCCTATCGCTGTGGTTGCCGAGGAGCATGAACTTGTCCCTGGAGGGGACTTGAGACTCAAGGGTAATTCGTGGCTCCGGGTGGCATGGGAAAGCTGCTCTGACAAAGTTCCCAGAGTTCCCAGAGAATCAGAGTTTCGTAAGATCGTCGCGAAGCTCGTGGAAACCCATCCCAAAATTTGTGCCTTTGCAAGGATCAGCGCAATACAATGCAGTAAACCATGTATAATAGTATACACTACTTGGGGTGGTCATGCAATGGCCTAGGCCCCTTCAGCCATAAAGATGAGACCCTTCAGCCATAAAGATGAGAAAGCAACTTGGGTTCGTGAACAGGAGCCCCAGCTGGATTTAGGCATTGCTATGGTGCACTAGCTAGACGTCGCTTCGGTCAGCAACAATCATGTATTTAAGGCTTCCAGGTGCCACAGGGTGATTCTTCGATCCCGGAAGATGTCTTCAAGGCCTCCTTCCACCACCTCGCTAACATCAACTGTGACACTGAGCTGCACAACTGCGTGCATGCATGTATACTTTGCACAGGTGTGCTTATCGATTCAAGGAACCCGGATGATGTGGACACCCAACCCTATTTTGAAAGCCTTGATGGTAGCCTCATGCTGCTTACATGCATTAGCTACTTAACCTCCAGGACCTTCAAAATGACCCTTTGATATCCCAGGATGAGGTCACTTAGGTCTGCATAAGTTCACACTCCGAAGAGGTCACTTGAAGGTCCTGGTTGATGGTGATCTGTCCTATGCTGTGCAACCAACAGATTATCAGGTTGGCATGTGGGCAGGCTCCGGAAATTCAGGCCATCCCTTCGATACGATATTTTGATCTTTAACTAACCAATTGAGGTGTTTCCTGTTTCCAATGAAGCTGAATGCCCCGCCAGGATGATGAAACAAAGCCTTTGGAAGCAAAGAGGCGCAAACGAGAGTCTTCGAATGAAGCACGAGCTGATGAAAAGATGAAGGAAAGTGATGGCGAGGCTGCGATGACGGAGGTCGATGAGGCTGCAAACAGTGATGATGAAGCAGCTAAAGGGGAGGCAAAAAAAGGAAGAAGAGGAAGAGCAAGAAGACACTGAACATGAAGACGCCGGAAACGATGGAGCAGAGAAGAAAAGTGAAGATGATAGTGAGGATGAAGGGCAGAAAGGTAAGGAGGAGGAGGAGGAGGAAAGCAGCGAGGAGGAGGCAATGAAGAAAAGTGAAGATGGATCTGACGATGATGAGGCCAATGAGGAAGATGGAAAGGGTGGCAATGCAGAAAAAAGACGATGAGGAGGAAGAACATAGTGAAGATGAAAGCCAAAAGGAAGAAGGGAACAAAAGTGA